GCTTTTTTCTTTTTGCTTATGTGGTGCTGAGGAATCGAACCCAGGGCCTCATGCATGCAAGGCAAGCACTCTACCACTGAGCCACCTTCCCAGCCCCTCATTAATTCTCTATATCACTTCAGACACGTGTGCCTCTTTCTCTCAAATCTTACTTCCCAATCATTAGCAAACCCTGTTGGTTCTGTATTCAAAATACACCTAATGTCTAATTTTGTCACCACTTCTACTGCTACCAACCTGGCAAAACAAGCTGTCACTGGGTAAGGTGGAATTCACCTGTAATCCCAGTACTTAGGAGGCTAAGGCCAAAGGATGTCAACTTCAAAGGCCAGCCTGGGCTACAGAGTGAGACTCTGAGTCAAAACAAAGAAGCAAAGTGGTTGATCCTGAGCCGCCATGGCATAAACACGCCACTTCATTTCTAGCACCCTGCCTGCTGCAGCAGCACCTCCAAGACCCTTCCCTAAAGCAAGTCCACCCAGGTTCCTTTCAAGCCATTAACTACTTTATTATCAATCCTGGATGTAGTAGCAATGAATGAGTTAAAGAGAAGATGCAGTTACTGAAAGCTTCAAGAAAAAAGACAAATAAAGATCATCTCTAATGAGCAATTCTTCCTAACGCTCATGAAAAGGGAAATGTCCCATTATATGAATGAGATATCACTTTCTTCCAACAGGAATAAAGAGCTTATGAAATTATCCCCAAGAATGCATGTGCCAATCACGCTTAGTGCAGATTTGCATTTTTAATCTGAGTCACCTTTGCTCTGCATGTTACTGTCAGCCTCGCTTGCTGGAATTTCCAGGAGAGAAGCCCACTTGGAATTATTCTGGTGTCAATCACTCCACAGCAACAGATATGCAGAAAGCAAAAAAGATCTCTTTTCTGACATCTGATCTTTTCCTTGTGCCATATCTTTACCACATTTAATAAAATGAGCTTAGGTGATATTTGCTCTAGAATGTATTGCTAATTCAGTGAATCACACAGCATAAACATTTGCCAATTCTGGGAAGTGAGACCTCATTTTGTAAGCAAATGATGAGCCAACGATGTTGGAATCCTTGAGACGCTTTCTGATTTAATTCCTAGGCCTACTTTGAACAATGTAAAGATTCTTTTAACTTCACATTTCACCATCAGATTTGTGTTTATATGCTGTTGACAATTACTTGAGAACTAATAACAATAGGCTGCCAGAATATATTTTGAAAAATTCTAGAAGAAAATAAACCAACGGTTAGTAGTGGTTCTCCTGTAGGAAGTGATAGGAACAGACTTTTCAGCATTAGTTATTACTGTTATTTGTAATTTTTTATCCTGAGGGAATTTGTGAGTCAAATTTTCATTCTTATAATGAAAAACCAGAGATGATTAACTTAAAAGAAAGAAAGGTATAGTTTGAAAGTTTCAGCCCATAATCAATTGGTCCAATGACTTTGGGTTTGGGACAAGGTGGGAGTATTCAGTAGTGCAAAGCCACTCATGTATGACCAGGATGCAAAAATGAAGGAGGAGGAGGAGGAGGAGGAGAAGAAGAAGAGAAGGAAGAGGAGGATGATAAGGGGAAGAGAAGAGGAGGAAGAAAAAGAGAAGGAGAGAGAGAAAGAGGAGAAGAAACAGCAGGCAAGCTTCCTGTAGGCACCACCTGTTAAATGTTTCATTACCTCCAACAGTGTCACCCTATAGATCATATCAAAAAGTAGAATTTGTAGAGGACACTCAACACTGAAAAAATGTAACAGGGGAAAAGGCAGTAAGGAGGGCTATTTTGATTGTCATTTGTTTTGTTTTGCTTTGTTGGTCCTGGGATTTGAACTTAGGGCCTGGGTGTTGTCCCTGAGTTTTTTTGCTCAAGGCTAGTGCTCTGCCACTTGATCCATAGATCTGCTTTCAAGGGACTTTCCTTCCCAGGCTGGCTTCTCAGTCTCCTGAGTGACTAGGATTACAAGTGTGAGTCACCAGGACCCAGCAGGAAAGAGGTTTTAAAGAAAGAAAACATTGAGATAAGAAAAGCTATCTGTTAACAAAGAACAAATTGCTCCTCTTCAAATATCCAAATATCTTTGAGGTTTGAACATCTGTAATGAAAATAACCATTTCACAGGCCTTTAATTTAGTCTGAAGATAATTATCTTCATAGCCAAAAAAAGAGTTAAGAAAGTGTTATTCTGAAATGATTACTGCTGCCCAGGGTTTGGCATGAGCACCAGTCAGCAATCTTGGGGCTCAGTGACCCTATTTCTATAGTAGTCAGTCAGTACTGCCTACATCACATCTACCTAGAGAGAAGAAATTTCTACAGGTCTTAGATTTAGATTTTTTAGATTTTTTTTCCTCCCTAACGAATAAGAGAAGGATTGAATGATTGCTAACAAAAAGCTAAGTGTCCTATTGTTTTTATCATGAGCTACCTAAAAATGAGAAAGGAAGACCAATCACAATTGCCAACATTCGCTTCCCATGTGCAGGACCCCCACTGAATCTGCACAGCAAACCCATGAAGTCATACACAATCAATCTACCCATTTTACCTGTGAGAACAGTGAGGCTCACAGAGGTCATCCAAGGTCAGACAAGGCTGTGTTCACCTCTACTGCTCCATCATGCTAACAAATCAGTAAAGGGCAACAGTTGACGTTGCAATTTAATTAGCGAGCCAAAAAGTTTTATATTCAAATTGAATTTCTCCTACCTACAAGGGTTTTGCAAGTTTGCTTTCTCAGTTCAATGAGATGCATTTTGAAATCTGCCCATCTGGGTTCTGTCAAGTAAAATTCATTATCTGAGTAATTTTTTTTTGTCAGTCCTGGGGCTTGAACTCAAGGCAGGGGTGCTGTCCCTGAGCTTTTTTTTTTCTTTTAATTGTGAAAATACCGTACAGTGGGGTTACAAATACATGGGCAAGGTAATGAGCGCATTTCTTATCAAGCATTGTTGCCTCCTCCTTTGTTTCCCCTTACCATCCTTCCTACCCACCCACACCTCCACCCACCCACCCCACCCTCCACACCCACCCCCTCCCGGTCCCTGAGCTTTTTTGCTGAAGGCTAGTACTCTACCACTTTGAACCACAACACTACTTCCATCTTCCTGGTGACTTATTGGAGATGAGAGTCTCACAGCTTTTCCTGCAGGGGTTGGCTTTGAACTGTGATCTTCAGATCTCAGCCTCCTGAGAAGCTAGAATTACAGGCATGAGCCACCTGTATCTGGCTAGGGTGAATTTTTTTTTAACTATAGTTTTTACCAGTAAATACACTCCTTCTCCTTCTCAGAGGGTATAGAGAACCACTTACATTTTCAGAAAATCATATTAATCCAAATTGAGTAAACTAGGTGCTTTAATAGATTTTTTTTTAAATCTCTACCCAAAGGCTGGAGCTATCATCTACCAGCCTGACAAGGAAAACATTGACGTCTGTGCCTTTCATTGTAAGCAATATTGACACAGCCCAGTGTTTCTCAAAAGGAGCTTCAAGGTCCATACATGAACCCCTCATCACCATAGCAACTAGAAATGGCAATGATTACAGTTATTCATCACATGTTGTCAGGAACAGAGCAACAACTCAGAGTCAAGCTTCATTGGAAAGGAACTCAGTTAAAGAGTAACCTGGGGTTATGGTTGTTTTTCAGTGTTTACATCCAATATTTTAGAATTTTGTTCTAGGACACCTCTCTTAATATTAACCCCAGTCCAGGGGGGTAATTTGTGTATCCTCAAGAAATACTGATTTAATGATCCATTCACTCATTCAAGAAGTGGGGCTGAGTAGGTGTCTTGTCGGCTGCCGCAGGCGCTCTGTGAGGAACAGGGCAGAGCACTATGAAGGAGACAGGCAGGGGTTCTGGCCTGCTGAGCTTCCAATATGACAAATAGCAAATGGGCAGCAAAAGACGGTATGTCACACAGTCCCTTGACTGACATATGAGGAGGACACAAAACATTAGAAAGAGCCCATCTCAACTATCAAGCCTAGCCTGTAATCCCAGTTATATTGAAGGAGAATAGCAATCTGAGACTTCTCCAATCAGTAACTAAAACAAAAGAGGGCTAGAGGCATGGCTCAAGTGATATACCAAGTGCCTAGCAAGCACAAGGCCCTAAGTTCAAACCCCAGTACCACCTCAAATAAAAGAAGAGTAAAATAAAAAATCATATATACACACTGACTAGCAACCTATAGCCAATATAATAAACAAAAGATGTCAAAGTAAGGCAGAAGGCTCTGAGTTAGATCTCCAGCAACATACACATTAAAAAACTTTTGTCAGGTGCTGGTGGCTCACACATGTAATCTGAGCTACCCAGGAGGCTGAGATCTGAGAATCAATGGTTCAAAGCCAGTCCAGGCAGGAAAGTCTGTGAGATACTTATCTCCAATAAACCACCAGAAAACCAGAAGTGGCTTTGTGGCTCAAGCAGTAGAGCACTAGTCTTGAGCTGAAGAGTGCAGAGACAGCACCCAAGCCCAGAGTTCAAGCCCCATGACAGACCAAAAAAAAAAATTTTTTTTAATAAGCTCTGAGGGTGTAGTTCCAGTACCAAAGTGTTTGTATAGGTTGTACTTAGTTCTGGGTTCAATCCCCAGTGCTGCATAAAAGATTAACAAACAGAAAAGAAATTTTAAAAATAGGATAAATGATATAATTAAAAGTTTTAATTTAAAAATAAAAATCACCAAGAAACCTCAAGTGCATTGATGATGTTTAAGTTGGGTGGGAATATGTTCTAATCTTCTTGTTTCCTTTATATATACTTCTTTCCCCATAATTAAAAGGAAAAATCACCATCTGCAAAGTGAAGCATTTAAAGGACTGTCTGTAGGTGTCCAGGCATGAAATGGCGGTGGGCTGCCTGTGGTACTGGCAGTGAGGATGGAGGGAAGAAGACACAGAAGACAGATATGGGAAGGAAATCAACAGCTTTTGGTCATTGACCGCATATGGACATGAGCGAGTGGAAAGAGACAAGGGCTTTTGTTGTTATTACTGTTTTAGTTGGACCAAAGCTACTCTTAACTGATCTACACACCCCTCCCAGGATGAAATTTCTAGTTGGCCAACTGAATGGATGGAGGTATCGTGCATCTAGTTTTTGATGCAGTAACTTTGAAGTGTTTCAAAACAAAAATTTCCAAGAAGCCGTTACAACCACTATCTATAAAGAACAAGAAGCTGGATGTTGGTGGCTTAGGCTTTCTACTTAGGCTGAGATCTGAAGATACCGTTTGCCAGCCTGGGCAGGAAAGTTCATGAGACCCTTATCTCCAATTAACCACCAGAAAACTGGAAGTGGAGCTGTGACTCAAATTAGTAGAGCTCTAGCCTTGAGCAGAAGAGCTCAGGGACAGGACCCAAGCCCTGAGTTCAAGACCCACAACTGAAAAAAAAAAAAAAGAATTGGGTTAAAGGCAGATTTGAAGGCCCTCACCAGCGAGCTGGTTAGTTACTTGAAGCCTCAGACTTAAGACAAGGCTCCATAGAGAAAAGAGAAGTAAAATGAGAAGAAAGCTTAGAAGGGAATCTTAGGGCAACAGAGAAGAATCTACAAAAAAGAAAGTAGCAGAGTCTGGAAGAAAACCATGAATGTGTGTTATTCTGGAAGCTAGGAGAAAAAAATTCTAAGAAAGGTATTGTCAACACTGACTAAGTCTAATATAAGCCATGAAAGACAAGAACTCAACTTTTAATGTCACCATTAATGTCACCCTTTGCTAACAAGTCCTTGATTCATTTCTGAGAAAGATGGGGAGGAAGTCAAAGTGATGTGAATGAAGGAAAGCTAGGAAGACAGGAAGTAGAGACATCAGCTGCGGGCTTCTTCAGGAAGTTTGGCTCAGAAGAGAAGGAATAATGAATCTTAACTCCCATTTCCTGCATGCAATGGTGCTGCATGCCTATAACATCAGCTCTGGAGAGGCTAAAGAATGAGGGTCATGAGTTCAAGGTCAGCAGGGGCTATACAGTGAGAGTCTGTCAAAAAAAGGGGAAAGAGAGAAAAACAGAAAGAGAGAGGAAAGAAGGAAGGAGGAGAGAGGGAGAAAAAAATAAAATAAACTGAAGTAGGAATATATGAACATATTCAAGTCTCATGAAATGAAGGAAACAGCAAAGTAGCAAAATTCTCATCAGGACTACGGCCAATTACAAACATACTTAAGCCATGTTAACACTCATTAACTGGTTAAATAAAGCATGCACTGGTCACATTTTTATTAGTATTATTAGTATAAAGAGGATATACAGAGAGGTTTCCATTTCATAAATGAGTTAATGAGTTCATTTCTTTGGGTACAACGTCACTGCTTCACTCTCTCTCAATTTTTCCCTCCTGTCCTTACCTACAGATTGTAGAGTTCATTTTTCACATAATGGCTAGTGAGTACCACTTCCACATTTGCTCACCTTTTGTCCTACCATTTCTGTGTCCCCCCTCCCCACCCTCAAAGACAGATAAATTAACAAATAAGACCAAAACAAATGAGCCAAGACACCAAAAAAGCAAAATATACACAACACCATCTTTACCAACAATGCAGAAAGAAAGAAAAAGAAAACCCTGTTTCCATTTTCTGGAGTTTATTTCAATAAATATTATTCTATATGTTTGGAGGCACAGAGACATTATGCCCTTGAGTTCCTCCCCTATGAATATCTTCCTTTAGTCGTACTCTGTGGTGAATGCCCAGAGTCCTGTGTAATTTATCATGAAACTGTACAAATTCTAAATCACAAAGCAGCACACTGTAGCAGAAAGAAAAATGGATTGTCAACAACTATTAGAAAAGATTCTTCTCAATTGTCTCCCCGACCATCCAATGGCAAAACCAACATTTGGCACTAAATAGAATACCTTTGAGGACCATAGATAAAAGGAAGTTACTATTGAATGCCTGTGGGTTCTCCATATAGCCACTGTTAAATTCTTACCAGCTTTGGGATTTTCAGGATGCTTATCAGGATGACATTCCAGAGCTCTGATCTTAAATTCTGCCAGGATTTGTTCGACCTAAAACAAAAAGTGTTTAAAATAAGGAGACAGTTTAAATGAGACCCCACAAAAGTGGGGTCTCAGTACTCCCTAAAACAGCCATATGATCTCCCTTGTAATTTTTATTCTTTCTTTTTTTCTTCCTTCCTTCCTTTCCTTCTTTCTTTCCTTCCTTCCTTGCTTCCCTCCCTTTCTCCCTTCTTTCCTTTCTTTCTTTCTTTCTTTCTTTCTTTCTTTCTTTCTTTCTTTCTTTCTTTCTTTCTTTCCTTCTGAATGGGGAGAAGGGGGCTCCTGGGGTTTGAACTCAGGGCCAGGGAGCTGTCCCTAAGCTTCTTTGCTCAAGACTAGTGCTCTGCCATTTGAGCCACAGGTCCACTTCCTGTTTTTTGGTAGTTAATTGGAGATGAGTCTCACTGTTCTGCCCAAGCTGGCTTCAATCTGCTTCTCAGTTTGAGGTTCATTCATGATTTGATTTGATTTACCCATTCAATCTCTTTATTGTGAATTATTCAGACTTGGTTTTAGATGGGTGTGGTAGCACATGCTAGCACTTGGGAGGCTGAGGTACGAGAGTCCAGAGTTTGAGGCCAGCCTGAACTATATAGTGAAACCCTGGCTCAAAAGGAGAAGAAAAAAGAAGACAACTTTATTAAATAACAACTTTAATATCAGCAATGAGGGACAACAGGTTATGTGGCTCTGAAATTTGATTGCTTAGTTTTCAGTCCCAGTTCCTCCAAGAAACTTCAGGGAAAAGTTGCATAACTTTCACAAATAGTCTCTTTTTACATTAGATGCATAATAAATGTAGAGTTACTGTTACAAAGCTTGACCACAATTAGACTTTGATAATAGTATCTATAATTAAATACCAGTGGTTATATATAACCTGCCATTCAGGAGGGTGGTTTTTGCTTTGTTTTTGGTCAGTCATGGGGCTTGAACTTTGGTTCTCAGGGTGCTATCCCTGAGATCTTCAGCTCAAGGCTAGTGTTCTACCACTGGAGTCACAGTGCCACTTCTGGCTTTCTGGTGGTTTATTGGAGATAAGAGTCTCACGGACTTTCCTGCCCAGGCTGCTTTGAGCCACGATCCTCAGATCTCAGCTTTCTGAGTAGCTTGGATTACAGGCATGAGTCACTGGCACCTAGCTCCCAGTTTATTTAAAAAGCTGAATTTTGAGATGGGGAGGCCAAGATCTGAGAATTGAGGTTTAGAGTCAGTCCAGATAGACAATAACCAACAAAACAATTAACCAGCTAAAAACCAGAACTGGAGGCATGGTTCAAGTGGTTAGAACACCAACTTGAGTAAAGAAGCTGAGTAAGAGTGTGAAACTCTTAAGTTCAAGCCCCAATACCAGCACAAAGAGAAAAAGAAACAGAGAGGAAGGAGGAGGAGAAGGAAGAGATGGAGGGAGGAAGAAAAGGACAGGGAAGAGGACGGGGAAAGGGAAGAAAGCAAGGAAGGAAGGAAGGATTCTAAACAATTTAGAAATACAAACTCTGAAAATTTCCTATCAATATAGAATAGAAAGTAAACACCCTCTTATCCTTTCCCTTTCAAAATTGATGTTTTGCTCATATTTATGTTTATGTTGGGAATTTTTTTGGGGGGTCCAGTCGTGGGGCCTGAACTCTGGGTCTGGGCGCTGTCCCTCAGCTCTTCAGCTCAAGGCTAGCGCTCTACCACTTGAGCCACAGCGCCACTTCCGGCTTTTTTCTTTTTG